TTTCCAGAGAAATGTGAATAATAACAGTTCTGGTCTGATCCCTCCTAACATTGTGCTGGGCCACAAGTCATTGCAGCTGAAGGGGACTGTGCCCTTCACTGACCATCAAGCCCTGCACTCTGCTTAAACCACAGGCACTTGGACTTCTCCAGCCACTCCTGACCACAGCACAGCTCAGGTGCAGTGCACACTTGGGCACAAAGATGGCAAATTTGAAATCAGTGTCATAACAACAGCAGCAGCAGCAGTCACAGCCCAGCAGGGAAAGGGAAGGAATTATTGAGCAGATCGAGCAGCTGCTCAGGCAGAATCCATCAATTTGTGCTATTCAGGGAAACTTTCCATAATGATAATACCCATTTTTTAAAAAGCCACTACCAAGGAAATAGTGGAAAAAGAGCCTAAATGAAAGGAGTGAAGCAGGCCCAAGGGCTTTGCAGATTGTGGCTCTAGATCTTGAACAGCTCCTAAATTTTGGAAACAAAATTGGTTAGTTCTTCAGCTGAATGTGGTGTCAGTTCTAAAAAACTAAAAAGGGCTAGGTTGAAATAAGCCAGCTGAAATCTGGTTGAGGAAGAATGGAGGCTCTTGTTCTTGTCATCCTGCTCATGCTGAAGGATTCCTGTGCCCACAGACCTACTTCTAAAAGCAGTCCTGTGTCAAAGGTTTCTGACCTGGCTTACACAACCACTCCCAGGTTCAGATAGGGCTGTTTCTGCTTCCCAGCCCTCCTGGTCCAGGCTGCAGACAGACAGACAGAGAGGCTGAGTGCAAGGATGGCCCAGGGCCCACAGCTTACACAGCAGAGCTGGGGGGGATCATCTTTCCCACCACCCTCCTTTCCCAGTTGTCATCCTGGTGCTGGAAGTTTGATCTGCAGGCTGGGCACACTCCAAGCCTCTGATGGCAGCTGTAGGGCCAGGGACAGCTACTACCTATCACTGGCAGGTTCCAGCACAGTCCATGCACAAATAGAACAGAAGAGGAACCAGATCCTCAGCTGCTGCCAGCTGGCATTGTTCCACTGCCTGCACCAAGAGAGCTCCTTGCACAGCCAGGAGTGCTCTGTGCTGGGCTCTGCTGGGTCTGCAAATAAGAACATGTTTGTTTCTCTCCCAAGCCAGCATTTCCAAACTGATCTCTGATAGGTGCTGCTTACTTCTGAGTTGCAGAAAATTGTTCTGGGCCCCACCTTGCGCCTTTTCTGAAGTATTGGTTTTAATCTCTGTGCTGCTGTTTCATTTTGGGTGTGACAGGAACAGAGATTTGTGTCACTGGGATGAAGATGGGTCAGAGGGTTTCTGCATGAAGAATAATAACAAGTATAGTTTCTTCATTACTTCACCAAGATGAAGTATCTGTAGTAACTCAGCAATACAAGCGGCACTGTGTTGCTGATGGCAACGGGACGTGGCTTCCCAGTGGGTGAACTTCTGGCTTCCCCCACCGCTTCTCCAGAGCTGACCAGGCTCCAGGGCAGCGGGGAAGCCCCGACCGTGTGTGCGCACTGCCCCGGAGCTCCCCGGCTGTCACCGTCACCCTGTCCGAGAAGGGCACGGTCCCGTCACACCCTGGCCCAGGCGCGGGGACCGTCCCCAGCAATGTCACCGCTCCTGTGACCCCGCTCTGACACACACCGGATCGGCAGCGACCGCTCTGGCCCCGTGCGCACTGCACCGCTGCCCGCACTCCATCCCTGCGGGAAGTCCCTCCTTCCCCATCCCGAGAAGTTTCCGGGCGGATAACGGGTTACGGGGCCCTTCCCACTGCCCAGGCAGCGCGGGCTCAGCCGCGGACTCACAGCCGGCTCCCCGCTCCGCTGGGCCTGCCCGAGATACGGCCGGGACCGGACCCCGAGAGGCCGCGGCAGCCCCGCAGTGCCCGCGGGAGGGACGGGACGGCGCAGCCGGACACCCCCGCGGCGCGGCCCGGCCCACCCTGCCCCGCCCGTCCCTGGAAGCGCCCCCCGCGCCGAGGCGGCCGGGCCGGCACTTACTGCGCGCTGCCGCCGAGGCGTCCGGTCCCCCCGGGGCGCGGGCGGAGCGGCCGCCGGGGGCCGCGCCCGGGGCCGCGAGGGCCGGGCCGGGCCGCGCCGCTCGGCTCCGCGCGCACCGCCGCTGGCCCCGCCCCGCCGCACGCCGCCCCAGGCCATTGGTCAGCGCCCGCGAGGCGAGGCTTGCGATTGGTTGTCACGGCTGTCACTCGCGCGCGCGGCGGCGGCGGGCCGGCCGTGCGCTCGGGAGCGGCTCCGTGCGCGGCTGCTCCTTCACGGCCCTGCCGCGGGACGGGAGGCCGTGCCCACGGCCACGGCCACGGCCCCGGTCCCGGTCCCTGAGGCAGCCGGCTGTGCCCTCAGCCCCACTGGAAGCCGGTTTGGCTCTCGCTCCCGAGGGAGCCGGCTGTGCCCCCGGCCGCACCGGGAGCCGTGAGGTGAGGCGTCGCTGTGCGCGCGCTCGCCTCAGAGCAGCCCCGGGCCCACTGTCGCCCCTCAGGCGAAGGGAGCCCCGGCCGTGCTCGTGGTGTTTCATGTGCAGGGAGAGCTGAGAGGCTGGAAGAGGAGCCGCCTCCGGGCCCGGCGCTGCTCCTAAGCCTCGTTCACCGCCGCAGGTTGGCAGCTCCTGGCTGCCCTCCCCGATGTGGCCTCGGGGCTGTGCGGTGCTGGCTCAGCCGGACACTGCCAGCCGCTGGAACGGGACTGGGACAGTGCGAGCTCCAGCCCTTGCTCGAGCCTGTGAGTGGGGCAGGGCCGAGAGTGCGAGTGGCCGGGCCTTTCCACAGCCACCTGTGCACGTGTGAGGCTACAGGGAGAGGGAGCTGGGGCTGAAAGGACCAAACTACGAAACTGCAGAGAGGAAAGGGAAATCTGCCTCTTCCCTGTGTGGAGGAGACTGGTATTTGTACCAAGAAGTAGCATGCAGGGATTTTACATAAGTAGCTGATCTCCTTTATTAAGGGAAACAAAACAAGGAGCCACTGGAGAGGGTCCAGCAGAGGGCAACAAAGATGAAAGGTCTGAAGTATGTTGTGTCTTATGAGGAGACACCACAGGAGATGGGCCTGTTTAGTCCAGAGAAAAGTGAGAGAGGATCTCGTTAATGCATATAAGTATTCAAAGGATGTTGTCAAGAGGGTGATGCTCAGCAACAGGATGAGGAGTAATGGCCATAAAGTAAAACACAAGAAGTTTCACCTCAACATTAGGAAGAACTTCTTTACGCTAAGGGTGGCAGGGCACTGGAATCAGCTGCTCAGGGGGCTCATGCAGTCTCCCTCTCTGGAGAGACACTAAACCCACCTGGCCATGTTCCTGTGTCACCTTCCTTGGTTGGGAAGTTGGACTGGATGATCTCCAAAGGTCCCTTCTAACCCCAGCAGTTCTGTGTTTCTGTGCAAATTGTTTCAGCCGTGGCCAATTAAAGTCTTCTCTTCCTCCCTTAGAACGGTAATGGTTGTTAATGTTTTATTCTTTTAGTGTTTATCTTGTAGCAGTAAACAGGGCCTTGGACTGGGAAGCTTCCCAAATAGATACTGTAGCTGACAGACTTTACATAAAGGCAGGTTTTCATGGAGGCTGTTTGTCTCTCTGCTGAGAGTAGCACAGATCCTTGGGCTCTTAGAGCATCCATCCCTTTGCCAGGAGGTAGCAGGTAAGACAATCTGGAGATCTTCACCTCAGGATATTCCTTCTGCTGCTTCCCTGGGCTGTGTTTGATTTTACAAAGGAGGGCAGTGGAGGCCTGACTGTTCCAGGGTTTCCTGGTGCAGCAGGAGCAGGACTGTGGTACCAGTGCCTGCCAGGCTGGAGCCCAGTTGGTCTCCCTGGCTCTCCCTGCAGCAGCATTCCTAGGGGACAGCTGCCAGCTGCTCAGTAGTTGTTTGTGTGGTGATTTTGGGGAGAAATTGGAGTAGAGGAGGTTGTGGCCTCTCTGAGACAGTGTTGAAAAGCAACCATCAATAGAGGGATGGCAATGAGTGCTCAGGGAAACCCATAGTTGCCCCAGGGACTGTGAGTCAGAAAAGAGAGGGGCCCTCATTTCTAATGGATCACAGCAGGAAAATGTGGTTGTTGTTCTGTTTGTCTCGAACAGTTCCAAGTGTGATATGCAGCAGCTGTTTTGTAAGGTTTCATTTCCTTTGTCTCCTGCAGTCATCTTGTTTGTTTTTATTCCTCCTCTGTCTGGCTCTGCCTCTTCTCTCCTTTAGGAGACCACTTCCCTCTAGCAGGGTTTGCCCTTTCTGACCTTTCCATCTTTCAAGTGTTTCTCTTCCCTCTATTATGTTGTGAGGGGGCTCTGTCCCCCCTTGTTTGCCCTCTGGGGATGGTAACAGTGTGAAACACCCTTGATCCATGAAGTCCAGGTCTTCTGTGAGCATCCCTGCCAACCTCTGACTTGTGGTTTATGAACAGAGAGAGGAATAAAAGAAATAATCTAGGAGAGACTGAAGGTCTTCCTACAGGGAAACCAGGGTGACCCCCCTGCGGGGTGGAGAGCCAAGGACTGGAGCTGAAGGTTGGTGTGTCAGGAACTTTCTGGGCCCCAGGACGGGCAGCAGAGCTGTGCCTGTGTGTGGGCAGCTCGCTTCTGCCCTGCCATGGGCACAGCCTGGCCTCTGACCTCTGGAGATGGGCAGCTCTGGGAAGGAGCAGGTTGCAGGGCTTAGCTGGTTGGCTGGCACGTGAGTCGTTTTGGGGGTAGTCTTTTGTTACTGGTACGGTGTGAGTGGTTGGTTTTGTGCTTGGGGGCTGGGATTAGGGCAAGCAGTCTGCATTCTGTCAGAGGGGAACCTGTTATTTAGTAGCCCAAGGAACTCACGCTCTTCTCTTGTTTTCTAGCCCAGAAGAGCTGCAAACGCTGTCCTGTGGAGAACCCACTGACTGCGGTCAGCTGGTGCTTAGCCAGTGACCTGTGGTAGCACCAGGTGAATCTCAGCACTGACAGATCAGTAGGTGGAAACAAGGAACAGGTGTGGAAGTCAGAAACTTCAGGAACTTCACCACAATGAGATGCCTCACCCTTCCACTGCTCAGGAAGTTGTTGAGCCTCCCAGCTCAGTGTGTGCCAGGGCGAGGGACTCCAAGTAAAGGTGCTGTGCTCAGTCCAAAGCAGTTGTTTCTGAGGCAGAGCTGCAGTGCAGGACCTGGGCTCATGACTCCCACTGATATGGTCAACTATTGGCAGAAGGTGTTCGAGACAAATGGGATCCCTGAAGCACAAGAATCCAGTCAATATATTGTGTCATTTGTCCTGGGAGCAAAAACAGTTAAGTAATAGGAAAAGAGTAAGATCTGTGTGTGCTTTTCACTTCTTCATTTTCATTTAATCTCTTACCTTTTTATCTGATTTAGAGGGAGTAGAACAACTTACCCTCCCTTAGATGGCAGAGGGGGTGAGGGGTAGTGTATTATAGCCAGTAGAACACTCAGGGGTCTCTTAAAAGATCTCTTTTGCAGACACTGAAGTGTAACATAAACATCCACCCTGACTTGCCTGATGAAGTGATTCTTAATTTTAATTGGTTTTGTGTACCCTAAAAAGTAGCAGAAGAACAGCTGTAAAGGTTTGTTTCTAAACATACAGATAAGTTCTTCTGATGGCTCTCCAGCTGGTTTCTAGCAGTCCCAGGCAATTGTGTTTGTCAGCATCCTGTGTCACCCTGGAGGATGCCCATGGAGAGGACCCTCCAGTGGCACAGGTGGGCAGATTTTAAAGTGACTTTGTCCTCAGTTTCAGAGTCTGGATTGCAAAAGCCTCCGCACTCCACTTACAGCACTGCAGCAGGAGCAAATCCAGCAGCTGAGCCACAAGCGGCTCCAAAGGTAGGAGCATCCTCTTGTACCTGTTCCTTTGGAGGGCTTTCCTTCAGCCTAAAAGCAGCCAGGAGAATGGCAGCAGAGAGAGGCAGCTCAGATGTCAGCTGTGCTGTGGTGGTCTCTCATGGTGATTCAAATGAGGGGCACAACTTGTCCACCTGCAAGCTACTGTCCAGTTGGTCAGGCCCCAGCCTGTACTGGTGCATGGGGTTATTCCTCCCCGGTTTATATGATTTCATATTACTCCTTGCTGATTTTTATGGGATTCCTGTCAGCCCATTTCTCCAGAGGTCTCTCTGAAAATTTGCACACCCATCTGGTCTGTCAGCTACTCCTCCCAATTAATTCTGTCACTGCAGGCTTGCCAAGGGGGCTCTGTCCCTTCAGCCAGACCAGTAAGGTGTTATGGGATATTGATCTTGGAGTACTCCACTAGGAATCAGCCTTCAGTTGAGCCTTGTGCTGCTGAAATCAGCATTCCAAGCCTGACTGTTCGGTCAGTTTCCAGCCCACCTCATTTATCCAGTCTGTACTGCATCAGCTTGTACATGAGGATGTTATGGGAGACAGTGTCAGAACCCCAGGGAAAGTCAAGACATGGTTTTGATGTGCTAGACTGGTCATTGTGTCATGGGTGACTATCAGCTCATTCAGGAGTGATTTCCCCTTTGTGCATCCATGCTGACCAGTCTCAATCACCTTCCTGCACTTGGCATGTTTGGACACAGCCTCAAGGACTCTCTGTTCCATCACTTTCCCCAGTACCAAGGTGAGGCTGACTGACCTGTAGTTCCCAGTTCCAGTGCTTGATGACAAGCTGGGCTGTGGGCAGGGAGCTGCCCCTGCTCCCTCAGTGTGCACATTGCTGATGCAGTTGCTGGCCCTGGGCAGGGGTTGTGGTGAGCAGGGAGGAAAGCAGCGTGCCATGAGAGGCCTCCGGTCACCCAGCGCAGCCCCAGAGCGCTCACGCTCCCCTTGCCTGCCACAGGATGCCAGTGCAGTACGTGCTTGGAGAGTGGGACTTCCAGGAGCTGACCCTGAAGATGAGACCCCCAGTATTTATTCCACGGCCTGAAACAGAGGTATGAATGTGGGGAATGTGGTGGGGGCAGGCTTGGATGTGTGAGTTACATGGCACGATACAATCAGGGCATTGCTGTGAAGGCATCCTGCATGCTGTGAGGCTGCAGTGATGAGGAAATCACATCACTCCACTTCTTATAGAATGGGGATGGTTCAGAGCTTGTGATCTGGAGCTGATGCTAGTAACCTTTGCCTCCTGCCTCAGAGGAAGGGATGCTGCAAGCTGATGTATCTCCTAATTACACAGAAATCAATTGCCATTGATGGAAGGATGTGGCTTTGCTTTCCTTAGTTCTCCTATAGGAAGGACTCCTGAGAAGTTCAAAACATCTACTGCTATGTCCCATCCCCTGTATGCTTAGGGCATACAGGAATCTAAATGTTGTCCAGAGGTTGCCAGCAGAACCCTGCAGTAGTAGGAAAACAGTAAAGCAATCCAGAGAGCCTGAGTGTCCATGTGCTGGCTGGTAGGAAGTGGCACCTACCATCTGTCTCATGGCTCCATGGTGGTTTCTGGACAAATACAGGAAACTGAAAGGTAAGTTCTGAGCTGGGCTGGAATTAAATGTGGCTGTCAGTCATAAGAATGTAAAAGACAGCCATACATGACCAAGTTAGAACTCTGTGTTCCCCAGCATTCCTACTGCTATGGTAGAGCTTAAGATCTACATGGTGACACTTGCCCTGACAGTAGCCTAGTTTCACTTTCAGCACATGGGCCATCCTAGCAAGGAAACTTTTTGTTTAGTAGTCCTCAGGAAAGCTTAGGATTTGCAAGGTGGGCTTTTTGTTTGGTTTTATTTTGGATTGGTTTGGGGTTTTTTACCTTCTGAGAATTTGTTTTCTTTTGGAGCCTGTGTTAACTTTTGGAGAGGAAGTGGTCTTCTTACTTTGTCTATTTATGAGTACCAGAAGCTTAAACCTGTTTCAGTCTAGTAGTCATTTCTTCAGTTGTTTGCCTGTTGTAATGGGCAAAAGTTAAACAGAAATTTAAGGACAAAGACAACCTGAGCTTCTGTTGTGCCCTTTGAAGAAAAGATGCTGTTGAAATCTGTGAGGGGGTTCCAGAGCATTTAGTGGGAATCAGCACAGCTACAGCATAGACATCCTCTCAAGTCACAGGGAGGAAGAAGATTTAGAACCAGAGTCTTGGTTTGGTGTGGGGCATGAGCAGCACCTCATGGAGAATCTGCTGGGCCCTAAGTCATAGTGCTGGCACTTGTGTCCAGAGAAGTTGGGAGCTCTCTGCCTGCTCTGGGTTGATCACTCTGTAGTGATTGAGTTTGGAGATGGAGCTCCAAGGAATAATTTTGCCAGTTGGAGCCAGCAATGGTTGCCTTTGTTATTGTCAACAGTATTTCTGCTCTGGATGATCCAAAAGAGTATTTCCAACCTCCAAATCCCAATTAGTTCATGGATGCAATGGGAGCATTGAAATCAGGGAAAACTTGTATGTTCTGCAAGTCAAAATATCTGCTGGTGAGGCTTCCTCTGGAGCTGTGCTCTGGTTCTTCACCCCATGCAGTGCCAGGCTCAAAACAAAGGCCTATTGTGTGGGGTGGAAGCTGGGCTGGCCAATGCTTGAGAATGTTGTTAATTGAGTCCAGATGCCTGATTTTTGTAAAAGCATCTCTGCTGGCCCAAACTGGAGTGCAGTGCTGTGTTTGAAACCACTTAACATATCCTGGTGCAAAAAGGGAGTGTAAACAGCTTAACCCAGACTTGTCTCTGGCAAAACTTTATTTGTTGTGTCACTTAACTTACTATGAAAGCACATTTTTAGCACATTTATTGCAGAAGACCAGAAGTTTATGATAATGATTCAAGAATGGAGCTCTGTGGGCAATGGAGAGTTTGCTTGTGATGTGCTGGGGAGGTTCCTGTGGCAGGAGAGCCATGGGGACAAAATCCAGCTATTGAGCAGCACCTGGCAGGACATGGCTGTATACTGGTGCTGCTTCCAGGAGCTGTGTCCTGTGTGTAACCTGTACATAAAGTGGTGTCCAGATCCTTTCCTTCTGCTGGAAGAAAGGCTGGTGATCTCTGACTTTGTGTGATGGGTTTGGGTTGGGCTTTGTCTATGTTCTTTTTCATCAGAGCAATTCTTTTCAGCCTTCACTGGACTTGAAAACTGCAGTGGAAGTACCTGCTTTCAGAAATGTTAAAGTTCTTTGCATCTGTTGCTTTCCTTTTGTTTAGAATTTGTCTGCAGTGTTGTTAAAAGCAGTAGTGCTGAAACTTTTCACCAGATAATTTCTGTAAATAATCCTTGTTCTTTAGGAAGCAGTTAATTGTTATCCCAGGTTCAAGTTTATCTGTGACTGCACACACAAGCCACGTGTCTTGTTTTTGGCTGAGAAAATGTGACTCCCTAAACTGTGCAGATACACAGGCAGCTTCAAAATTTTCTTCCTAATTTTCTATGTGTGGCTTCTGCAGGTGCTCCTGTGTGTTGGTTTGAGTCTGAGGAGAAGGGGAGCCATGTTTATGACTCATGTGTTGTTCTCTGGTTGCAACAGAAGGGTTATGACTCTTGCTCCGGGGCCTTGGTAATGGCATGAAATTAAACACAGCATGACCCAAACCACAAGCATTGTTTCAGGCCTGGGGACAGAGACACGCAGAGAGAGAAGCTCCCTTGTCTGCTTCATTCTGTCCTGTGTGAAATTTGCCCCCATGTGATCTGTTTAGTTCTCTCTGGTAGCTGAGCCCTCTCCTGTTCGCTCCCTCCGGGAATATTTGTGCAGCACATGTGGCTTTGTTCTGCTGGTCCATGGGAATCTGGCTGGAAGGGGACAGGCAGCCAGAAGCAGGGAAAGAGCAGGTCCTGTTCAAGCTCTGGGAGGAAAGCTTTGGACTGGCTGCTGTGAGTGCTGGGTGGGTTTGGGAGGCCCTTGGAACTCAGCATCCTCCCACCTTTCCTCCCGTGGCACCAGAGCCAGGCTTCTGCACTGGGGAAGTTTGAACCAAAGTTATGGGGTGTACACAATGAGTTATCTTTGTTAGGTGATTATTGTAATGTTGAGGCATCCCTCTCTCAACACTGCTCCCTCACTATTAATGGAGAAGAAATACCTTGTCCCAAAGCAAGTATTTTTTTGAACTTCTAAAATTTTAGAAGTTCAAAATTTTGCTTTTTTGCAAGAAGTTCTTGCTTTGGGAGAAATAAGACAAAGAGGAGGGGTATTCAACCAGCCGTGGATATGTCATTCCTTTTTGCCCGGGTGACTGCAGGCTCTCTGATGCTGCTTTGGCTCGGTCCAGGCCGCCTCCAGGGAGGGGTGTGGGATACGCGGCACGCCCGCCTCGTACCCCCAGAGGGCGCTCCAGGCTCACGCTCTGCGAGTTCCTGACTGTTCCATTTCCCATCCGTTATCCCGGCGTTTCTGATGGTTCTGAACAGGCTTGATTGATCAGTGGAAACATAAATGGCCATCATTCGTGCCTCGCAGCTTTTGATAGCTCCTACAGCAGATGGTGGGAGCAAAATGCCAAGAGAAAAGGTGGGTGTGGAAGGGTCCCTTCTTCTCTTGACAGTCAGCAGTTAAGGAGTGTTCTTAGCCAAAGCTGGATTTGGGGCCGTCCTGCTTCGTAATTGTTAATGGATCTGTCTCGGACTGATTTGTTTAATCCTCTTTGGAGTCTGTCTATGTCTAACCTCCCTGGCATCATGCGACAGCAAATCTTGTATTGTAGGTGGGAAAAGTGCATTCTTTGCTTCTGGTGCTGCCTGCTTATTTAAGCATAAAGGAAAACCTTTAGTTTTTACTGTACAACACTTAAATAATTCACTACAGCATTTGTAATTTTTAGTTATGTCTCTGTCTATTCTTTTTCCACCTGTGATTTTTAAGCTCTTTGTTTGTTTCCCAAAATAGGTTGTTTCTTTCCCATGATAACATGCTTGAAAGCTGAAGTCAATGCTGTTTACTTGCACCTGCCTGTGGAATGGCATTCATTGTGTGGGGTGTTCTGTGAAAATACTTGAGTTAAAGATTGGCTCAGAGAAACCTTTCATGAAGTTTAACTTCTAGATAACATAATCATTAAACTTTCAAGAAGGTCCAGCACACAGAGAAGGGAGACTTTTCTTTTCCTGACCTGTATATGCAAATAAACAGATTGCAAGGTGGGCCCTCTCTCTCTCCAGTGTTTTATGTCAAAGCAGTGACACATTTTCTGTTCCAATCAGTGCTGAAAGGAAGCCTTTGATGCAGAAATGTCCTTTCATTTCTGTAATTTCTTTACCACAGATGGGTACTTCTTGGAAGGGTCTGAAGGTCACACTGTCTAGTGAGTACAGCCATTAATCAAGAGTCAGAAGATTGGCTTTTTTTCATAGTTTTGCCTCTGAGCAGTTGTCTCTTCAAGGGAAGGCTGCATCCCCTTTCTGTGTAATGGGCTTCCCAGTTTGGAAAGTGAAAAGGCTAATAGTGCCCTGTCTTGACATAGTTTAAGGTCCTTTCTTGAAATATGTGTAGACTTGTATAAGGCATATTAAACATAAATACAGTAGAGCATTATTTAATAAATAAAAACTACCTGCTATCTGTCAAAATAGAGCTGTAAGCAAATGTGCTAAAGATGTTGCTGTTGTGGCCTCACAGATCAGATTTTGCCCACATGATAGACAGCACTTTATCCATGTATTGAAGGAGAAAAATACTTTCTGCAGGTGGGCTGTGGCACAGAGGGTGGGCAATGGAGGTCACAAAGGGAGTGGAGCAATTGGAATTGCCCTTTGAGCTAGGCACAAGGATCATATAGAGAGAGACAAATAGAGCAGCATGTGCCTTGTGGCTGAGGTACTTGTCCTGCCAGAAGGGCTTGGAGAAAGATTTGGGATTGCCAGTGTCTCAGGGATATTGGCTGACCAGGAGCACCCACTTTTTGCTGCCCAGTGGGCTCATGGGATCCTTGCATGTGGGACAGGGGAGTGCCACGTGCCTGTAGCAGCATTAAATAATGAGTATTGCAGTAGTGGAATAGCTGCAGAACT